AAGCCTTGGCCTCCGGATGGAAACTCTTGCCTTCTTCGAAGGCTGTCACATCTCATCATGGCATGTCCTTCTCGCTTCTATCAGCAGGGGCAGAGCCAGGGCGGCCCCTCCCCCCACACCAAAACTAAACTATACAACACAAACCACAGAGCAGATCTCAAACTTGAGCTGGAGTCTCTTCACCCTGGGAAAACACCCCTAGATTTTGTTTTGGGTTTCCCCCCCTCAAACAGTGATTCAGGATAAGATTACATTTCTCAGACTCTCTTGCAGCTATGTGTGGCTAAGTTATTAAATCCCAGTCAACGGGGTATGAAAAAAAATGAATATAGATAACTTCCTAGCCTTATTCTCAAAAGAGAGGTGTGTGGCTGACCTTTTCCATCCCTTTCTTTCTATTTTCTGGGGGAAAAATATAGATGAAGCTAGAACAGCCACATGGGATCCCAACACAGAAGTGACACATGAACACAGTTAAGAAGCTGGCCTCTGGTGTCTGTGAGGCAGCCAGGTAAAGCCTGAACTTTTAAGAAACACATTTTGGGTCTCTACCCAATAGGATATTCTGTATCCCACAATTAATAAGCTTCCCCAGTAGCACTGAACACCCAAAGTTTAAGGCCTGAACTTTTCAGAAGGAACAAGTCAATATTTATTGAAAGCCTGTAGTCTGTTAAAATTTCCTCAGAGTCTTCACCGTCCCTCCCACCCCTACGTTCTTACTGAGAATTGTGACCATGTCATTTTATAAAAACCAGAAGGTGACATAAAGAAGCCCACTCAGAGTGTTGTGTAGGAGTGACAAGCCTTGGGAAGCATTCGAAAGCATTCATCTGCAAGGCTCTAGTCCAGCAGGAGAGTGATAGGAGGGGCTGTGCAAGACTCCGGGTGTTCACAGAATCCCCTGAGCACTGTGCCAGCCTGGGATTGAAGGCGCTGAGCTGGGGGCAGACTGGGAAGAAAGACATGACTCACAGACACAGGAAGCTGCACAGGGCCTGGGTGGTGTTGGAGTATGCTGTCTGGATCCCCCACCATCACCAGAGAGGGAGGGTGAGTGCCACTCACTTAAAGTGACAGAGTGACAGTGGTGACATTATGAGGAGAAATGGAAAAGTACACGCACGTATTTAGAAATGGCAACTGTCTCTTCACCATCAAGTCCTCCAAGGCATGGCCAGGTCCCAACCTGAGGCTGAGGTAACTCACTGTTCCCATACACACTTTCCCTCCTAAGGAATCCCTCAAATGCCAGGGTATGGATCAGCCACAGTGAAGACTCCAAGTCCAAGCCCTTGTCACTGGCTTGTGCCAACAGGGAGGCCAGGGCAAGGGCTGGCTACAAGTTATATATAAAGCCAGCCCACTGAAGACAGCCATTCACACCCTCCTAATAAGCTAGTCTATTAGAATGGAGAACAGTAATGTAAATGCTTCATTTTCCTGTTTCCTGGGATCCTCTGGAGAGCAAGCAAACTGTAATGAGAGGTTCAGAGCAGACAGAAGAAGCACACATCATCTGCAGCAGTTAACATGGCCCTGGAAGAGCCAAGAAATGCCATCCCCATGGCATGAAACATGTAGTACAAAGCGGGGGGGGGGGGACCCGAGTCTCATTCCTCACTTCAGGGATTGCCAGGTAGCCCGGGAAAGAGAGAGCACAGTGCTCTTGGGATATGCCCAGACCTCACGATATCTCAGTCCTGGTGTCAGTCTGCCCCCTGCCCCCTGGAGTGGTTCAGAAGGGGCCTAAGTGTGCACATATGTGCACAGGGACAGCGGAAGAAGCCTCACCCCCAGCAGCCATCCTGAAGCAAGGCTCTCCCAGATGTGGGTTTGCAAGGCTGATTACCAACCATTACACATGGTGCAAAACCCTTCTCATTAATGCAAGGATTTGTCAGACATAAGTCACAGCCGTTACCGTAAGTGACAGGTTGCTGAAAAGTTTCTGTATCCCTAGACACCAGGTCCTGTGTCCGGAGCATAATTGTGTTCTTAAATTAAAACAGCAAACAGGTATGGTTTCCACAACAGGCATAGGTAGACTGCCCAAGTTCACAGAGGGATTTTCCACGTGTCAGTGATCGAGCAGGGGGAATCTGTGCAGGTGGCCCACACCAATGTGTGACTCCATCACCATCACAGGTGAGGGTCCATCAGACCCTTTCCCTCCTGCCCACAGCCCACATTCTTGAGACAGTGAGGGTACTTCTCCCAGCCTCCTTTTCCTTATCCAACAACAGGCAGAGTAAGCCATGGAGCAAGTGGGTGTGCTCAGCAGTGTCTGGCACTCACAAGAGTTCTGCAAACAGTCAAACAGGAGCTCTTAGCCCAGCAGATCGCATGCTTCATCACACAGAGGAAGCAGCCTGAGTATTATTCTTTGATTTTTCATAAGGAGTGGGAACACCGCCTGGCCCTGAGAAGGTGGGAAATAAAAGAAGCGGATATGATCGCGGTTTCCCCTGGGTACTAGGAAATAACATGGGAGAATAGTTTGGGGCAGGAGACACGGTTGTCTTCATTGCATGCCCCAAGGACTTTTTTCTTCTTCTTCTAGGTGACAAACTGTAAAGAAGCCCTGAAAGCCTTCTGAGACTGCAAAATGGGGCTGTTTCTAACTGGCCACTCAGCGAATTCTTGGTAATGGCTATAACGGGACGTCCATCTCCCCGGAAGGGAAGGAAGCCGGGCCCTATGCATGGCATCTCACTTTGATTATTCTGTACTCCGAGGCTCACAAAAATTCTGGGAGCAGGCTGGGAAGCAGCTCTGTGGTGGAGAGCATGCTTAGCGTGTGGAAGGCGCTAAGTGTGATCCCCAGCACTGGAGTTTCATTCTGTTTGTAAGCTGCAAGCCCTGACTAGAAACTAGTGCAGTTGAGGCTGAAACCCCTTCTAGAAGAAAAAGTCTTAAATCCTTGCCTGAGACATGAGAAGGCACCCCAAGTTCTAATTAAACTGAAGCAATTAGCCACCCACGGATCCTTCACTAGCTTCCCATGGCCAGGCTATCATCTCTATTAAACCTCACTTTAAAATAAGGAGGAAACGCAACAGCTACACCAGCAGCACCCAGTTCTCAGAATCAATTACCCCTTTAGTCTCAGGAATCTGCCTGCGTCGGGCATGAGGAGGGAGCTACAAGAAGCTGGTGGGGAATAGCAGACAGGACAATGTGTGGTGACAAAGTCTACCCGAGATCTGGATCTCTCAACCAGTAGGCAAAGGGTGTCAACCATTCACTCATCAATGTCACCTTGAAGGACCATATCCAAGAAGAGGAAGCACGGTCTGTGGGCTCTGGGTATGAGCTCTCTGCCTGATCAGACCACTGCAAATGGACGCTTCCACAGTATGGCCTGCCCCATGTCCTCTGTCACTGAAGCACCAACACGGCACGATAGATACCCTGGCAACATGAGTGCCAACCACCCAGGCTCACTGATGTTTCCAGTCAGGCAGGTTCCCACCACTCTAGGACCTCCTGGGACAAAGGGAGGCCAATTCCCTCAGCCAAAGGCACTTTCTAGACTCTGCTACAGCAACAACCACACGCTTGTCAGTGGTAAAATGACTCAGACTTAAGCACTTGTCTCAAGAACGAACTAGGGGGGTATTCAATGCTGGAGCAGTATCCCATTAATCTCTCTCTCTCTCTCTCTCTCTCTCTCTGTGTGTGTGTGTGTGTGTGTGTGTGTGTGTGTGTGTCTGTCTGTCTGTCTGTCTGTCTGTCTGTCTGTCTTGTATATCAAGCATGGAGACTTCTCCACCAAACATCAGACAAGAAAATATTGATCTTAGTTGGGAACGATTATAACTCAGGTCTACAATCCCAGCACTCAGGTAGGCTGAGGCAAGAGGATTGGCAGGAGTTTGTAGCTAGCCTACGCTACACAGTGAGTTCCAACTCATTCTGGGCTACATTGCAAGGCCTGATCTTCAAAAAAAGAAAACAGGGTGAGGAGGGGCAAGGAAGGAAGGGTACGGAGGAAGGAAGCCATGACTCAGACTAGCTACCCCAGGGAAATAAACTTTTCCCTTGGAAACCCTGAGGAGGATAGTAATTGTAGTAGAATATTTCATTTCACCCCGAGCTTCCGCAGTGCCCGCAGTCTAACACACAGCCCATGTAAAGATGGCAGAGACAGCCTAAGTTCTTCTCTCAGACGCTGCTTTCTCCTATCAGGTTGGACTATGCAGATCTAAGCTGTGTTTAAACCAACACATGGCACAAGACACACATTAGATGCCTGCCGAGTGTTCACGAAAGTGTTCTCATCAAGAAAATAATAAGATAGTCATCGACTTGGCTGTGCTGTGACCATTTCACTGTGTCATCGAAACACCACACTCACTGTTTTGAGACTAAAACGGACAGAACCTGCCATGGCTCGGTGATCTCAGCATAACTGTTTATGAAACAGTCTCTCTTTCCAAACTTAATAAAAATCAAGTATCCAGATGACTGGGTATACATAGAAAAAGCAGACTGGTGAAGGCACCAGGAAGTAGTAATAGTTGACTCTCTCTCCTTCCCTCTCCCATTTCTCCTCCCTTTCCTCTTCTCCCTTTCTTTCTCCTAACAGGGTCTCATGCAGCCCAGGCTGGCCTAGTACTTTCTACCCAGCCAAAGATGACCTTGAACTCCTGATTGTCCTGCCATCAGTCCCTGAATTCTGAGTTTACCCACATTTCTACCATACCCAGTTTGTATGGTGCTGGAGTTTGAACCCAAGGCTTCCTGCATGCTAGGCGAGCACTTTACCCACTGAGATACAGCCTCAGTCCTCTCTTACACTACTTAAATTTGTTTCTCAGTGATTTAAAGATCAAGAATACCATAACCCTAGTCTTCAGGAGAAAACACATCCATGGATCATCTTAAGTACCCATCCCTTGATCCTGCTAGTGGAACAACCCCTGCTCCATTATCAGCCTGCAGCAGGACGGGCCACCAGGCAAGTTCCCTGGATCCACCCCGAGTGCCATACTCACAGCCAATCATCATGATGGCCACCGCGAAGATCTTCTCAATGTCTGTGGATGGGGCAATGTTCCCAAAGCCCACGCTGGTGAGGCTGGTCATGGTGAAGTATAGCGAGGAGATGTAGACAGAATTCTTGCTTGGCCCACCTTCCCACTTCCCCGAGCCAGACCCATTAAACTGGTATGGAGTGCCAATATCCATCGCCAGTTGGTAGAGCCAGCTATTGTTGCGGATCGTCTTGGTGTCTTCGTCAAAGATCTCGTAGTCCCCAATGCTGTACCAGATGCAGGCCATCCAATGGGCAGCCAGCCCAAACACGCACACCAACAAGACCAGTACCGCAGCTCCATACTCGATGTAATGGTCCAGCTTGCGGGCCACTCGCCCAAGACGGAGCAGCCGCACAACTTTCAGAGAACTGAACAGGCTGCTGATGCCCTGGAAGGGGATGGACACAGTTTCAGAGAGAAAGAACACAGCTAACGCTCCGTCCCGCGGCCCCGCCACTGCCATCGGTTTAAGCATCTTGTACATTTCCATGACATGCAATATTATACAACCCTTAAAAAATACTTAGAATCTTTTTTTAAAAAATATATTGTTTATTTTGATTTTATGTGTATGAATATTTTATCTGCAGCTATATATGTGTACCAGGTACTTGCCTTGTGCCTGAAAAGACCAGAAGGGAAATTTCAGGTCCCTGGGAGGCAATTGCAAATGGCCAAGTGCATTGTGGGAACCAGGCCTGCATCCTCTATAAGAGCAGCTACAGCTCTTAACTGCTCAGCCATCTCTTCTCCATCCCTTTCAAATTTGAATTCTATTCCAAGGCATACAGAATAGAGATTTCTATTCAGTGTTTTATGACTTGATTAAAAAATAAACAAAGCAAATAGAGTTATTATAGATGAGAACAAATATATGCATCTTTCTGTACCACTAGTTATTTTAAGAAAACTTTCAAGGGTTGTATAATATTTCATATTATACAATATGAAATGTTTGAGTTGTATCATATTTATTTCATGTGGCAATGAATTATATAAACACTGCATTGCACATAGGAAAATAAATATGTGTGCATTAGAAAGCAATCAGGAACCACAGGCTGTTTTTTTTATTCTATTTTCACCTATTTAGTTATAAGTGCATACACATACCTGGTTTCTGTCATAATCATTAATTTTTAATAATTAGTAAAAGACATCTAAAATTAAAATGGATTAAGAAATGCTGAGGTGCACACCTTTAACCTCAGCACCAGCTGAGATTAGAATTAGAGGCTAGCCTGGTCTACATAGTGAGTTCCAGGCCAGCCAAGGTTGCATAGTGAGACCTGCTTTAAAAAAACAAACAATAAACAAGAAGAAATTAAAGAGGAAGAAGTAAAGAAAGGAAGCCTGGACGAATAAAGAGTTGAGATTCTGTTGGGAAGGTCTTTACTTCTGTGAGGCTGGGGTATATACAGTCAGACACTAACAAGTACACACGTACACACACACACACACACACACAGTCAGTCAGTCAGTCAGTCAGTCAGTCAGTCAGTCAGTCAGTCCAGGAAGCTGGACTAAACCACAGTGGTATGTAAAGATCACCAGGCTCTCTCTCTCTCTCTCTCTCTCTCTCTCTCCCTCTCTCCCTCTCCCTGAACTAAACCACAGTGGTCTGTAAAGAGCACGAGGTGGAAATCTGGGCCACGTGTGTCCATTTGGACACTTCAGTGACCTGCTTGTGTCCTTGTGTAAACAAGGAGGGGGTGACCCAGAGCACCACACAGCCTTCCACAAACACTAACCTACCAGCTCCCAGCACCCCCCACCCCCACAGGGACTCGAGGTACACAACAGATGCCACAGCACTTGGACCCTCCCCACCCAATTCCTATATCATTCTGAGATGTGTGTGTTGGGAATCCCCATTAGCTTTTCCCACTTCCCCTAAAAACAGCCTAGAAAGCAAACAACACAGATGTTTCTTTGCGTCAAGACTCTGTCAGCCTTTACCTAGTAAGAACCCAAGGAAAGATGTTGCCCTTCACCACGGGCGATGCAGGGTTCCTCTCTTTTCCAACCACTAGGCAGTTTCTGTACCTCCACGACTCTCTCATCCTCCTAAAGCCCCAGGGCCAACTTATGACAGGAGAAGGAAAAGGAGCAAATGCTTCTTCCCCATGCCTGTGTAAGGAGTCACCCGGGGCTCACTTCTCTTCAAGCATTCATCACTAAACTGTATTTCTCAGGCTCTGTCCATCTACCTGAGTCCTTGTGGATGTCACTTCCAGGGAATTTTGCTTTGTCTGTTTCTGTCTTCAGGTAAGTCTGTGTGATCTTGAAGCTATACCCTAAACAAGCCTAGGTCCCTAAAGTGCTGCGTGGGAGCTCAACCGAAGCTAACTTAAGTTGTAAGTGTGTGGATAAGGAAGAAATCTCTGAAATAAGCACTGAACTGTGTTTCCCTTTCCTACCAGCTCCAGGGGCCCATCCAGGCAGACCCCAAATGAGGCTGTACAAAGAGCAGGGCGGGAGCAGTGGGATTTGTTGCCTCCTCAGAAAAATAAAGCAAGGCTGGGAATGTAGCTCAATGGCAGAAGGCTTGTGAGGAGCCCTGACTTTTATTTCCAGTGCCACAAAATAAATATAACAGAACAAATAGTCAGCCTTTGCAGAGGTAGAAGTGCTACAGATGTGATGGTTTCTCATCTATTTACAAAGTTCACATCAGCACAGCCATTCCTCTCCGTGTTCTCTTCTCTCTCTTGATCAACCTTGCACACAAGAGTGGACAAGGACCTCATAGGGGTCAGCTGACAGGGTAAGGGGAGATCTCTCTGCAGAGGCACCTGTGCCCCAACAGCTTCCAGAAATGGAGTGAGCAGCATCTACAGCTGCCACGAAGGAGATATTTTGGGAGGCAAAGGAGTCTTTGGGATGAGTCAGAAATCAAACATCACGTACACAGCCACCCACTCGATACCTCCTCCTGAGGGTCCCTGAAACCAATTCAAAGAAAAGCTTGCTTCCCAGGGCAAAACCGCCTTCTCATTTCTCCTGGTGCAAGTTCAGTTCAAAGAAACTCTCAGTAGTCCAGAGGCCCCCACGGGTGGCCTGCCTCTCCTCGACGCCCCCTTTGTCCTCTCCCACAAATCAGATGCACCACTCCACCACAGGCAATCACTCACAAGCCATCAGTGGGCTACGTCACCTCTCTGACCCTCCTGCTACATCCCTGCCCCTTCCTCTTCCATCACAATGGCCACCAGTAGACATCCAACTGCCACTCAGAGGCCATGCCGTGTTTTAACCATATATATGTATGCTCCAAACGGCTCACACGTCTGTTTGAAAGATAGGTACACGTGGTGCCTCGTCAGGCTGACCATCTGGTCATCTAACCATCCTTCAGGCTTGTGGGTGACTCCACCATGAGGCTTCTATGATGACCCTCAAGTCAGAACCTGTCCCCAATTCCTCCACTAGTCCACAGTGCTCTGTGTCCATTACCAGTTGGGCATGACTGCCTGTGTGATAAAATCCTCAGTCCCCAAAATGTCACCAGGAAGTACACCTTCCCAAAGATAGAAGCCACCATTCACCAGTCGTGCAGGCTGGAAACAAGTGGGTTGAACAGTGTCACCCCTCATTTTGGGATCGAAGACACTACCCCAAGTCTAGAGCACATGTTCAGAAGGAGTCTGAGAAAGCTCCTCAACTGACGATTAGGGCAAGCTGCTTCTTCCTCGCTCTGTGGAGGGTCTGGCACATCACTGCTGTCTCTCTGTACAGTGGTATGCCATTGCTCAGTGTTGGGATAAATTCTCTTTAACACATCAGCAGCTGGAATCCTGGCTGTTCCAAAGCAACTCAAGCTATTATCTTGGTCCCCACACACCCCCACATTCCTGAAGTTCAGTACATGAGATAAATAAAACAGAACCCTCCAAATTTCTCTTTTTATTTGAGTTCACGAAAACACGACATCACGATGGGCTAGAGAATCGGGTTTCCCCAGAGACCCATTGCAGCAGAAAAACCATCTCGTGCTGCATTCTGGATGCTTGATAGGAATCTTGACATTAAGAAGGGCCAGGAGTTTCCAGGTGGGCCAACGAGAACAGAGGAGCGGAAGAATAGAAGCTACTGAGCTTCGTCCCAGAAAGCCGCAACTAGCCCAGCGGCAGACTGGAAATCTCAGTGGCCCCTGTGTGATAGCACTGATCACTGATCGACCCAAATCGAGATGGACACCTGGTGGGCTTTTCAGAGTCATCATGTGATGTGCAGCCCAAACGAACCATTCACTTAGGTTTGTCTTCACCATCCCCCGCCCCAAGTGTGTGTGTGTGTGTGTGTGTGTGTGTGTGTGTGTTAGGGAGGTAGAGGCGTATGCACAGGGGTGGGTGCATGCGTGCTGAGGCCACATGAGGAAATCAGGTGTCCTGCTCCACTGCTTTCCACTGTATTCCTTTGAGTCAGGGTCTCCTACTGAAGCTGGAACAGCCAGGAAGCCCTGGTGCTCCAACTGTGCTGAGTTACAGGTACACACAGCTGTGCCCGGTTTTCTTCTTTATCTGAGCACTCTGACCCAAACTCAAGTCCTCATGTTTGCACACTGAGCCATCTCTGTAGCCCCCTGCCTTCTCTCCTAACTAGATCCACCAATTCTCTGCTTGATAACATTTTTTTTCCTACCATAGGCATCGACACTAAAGTCACAGACTGATGCCATTCCATTACTGAAATGCTATGTTTTTAGATAATCTCACCAGGCTCCCAGATCTGCAGGGGGACACCATGGTGGTCATGGCATATTAGAACTATAAAATATTCTTGGTATCATCTTCCACCCCCATTGCTTGGGAGGCCCCTTCCCTGCCATCACGTGGCAAGGTCTATGACCTGGCATCTTTGATGGACTGTGCCTGCCTGGCACCTTGTTTATGTGGCTTTCTATCAATGCTGGCTTTCCCTATTACTCTCCCTCAAACTCTGAGGTGAAGAACAGTGAGTTCTAGGCTCCAAGCTTGCATCTCTCCAAACAAGAGTGACTTAGCACTCACAATGATGAATACTGCCTCTGTCCAGGTTGCTGTGTCCACCTCCCACCAAGCCTCCATGAATGGGGGTCCAATCACTCTTCAGCCAATCTGGAGGTTAGCACTGTCTCAGTGCACTGTACCTCAGCCTCCTTTCACTTTTTAGCTTGAGATGTAATCTCATTAAGTTGTCTAGGCTGGCCCTGAACTTATTCTGCAGGTCAGAGAAGCCTCCAACTTGGAACCCTCCTGCCTCAGTCCCCAAATGAGACAGGATAGGAAGGCTGTACCATGCCAAGCTGAACAAATCCTTATTGAGCCCCTACTTATAACTCAAGCCCTGGTGACAGACCAAACCCAAACTTTTACCCTTCTAGGACTTCCAATTAAGAAAGACAGA